TATATTCACTCAACAGAACGTTGTTATGACTGTTGTCAAAATTGTTTTATAACCGATTTCCTTTTCTTGTCGTATCTCAACTTTATAAAGGAGTTAGTTTTGCATGTTTTCAATCTTCCTATATTTTGTTGTACATGCGAAAGCTAATGGGACTGTGTGTATTGATGCAAAATGAAAAAAGGGGATAATTGAACTGATTTGCATAATGGTTCGGAAGGAGATAGGTGCACGCTCTAGTGGGTCTGCGTGTGTTCTAAGTTGTTTACGGCTGTCTCTTTTTTTATGACTTTAAGGAAAGACAAGGAATAAGCGGATGAAATAATGAGCTCTCATCAGATGAAATTAGTATTCATGGCAAAAGAATTTTATTTGAAACAGTGTTTCACTCTTTAAAGTCTAATGTCATGTTACATTGTAGAATGGACTGATTTTAGTTAGATGAATTGGTCAGTTGCTCTTTTTCCTGTGCGTGGATTGTTTGAAAAACAATGAAAATATTCAGAAACATCTGTCGCCTAGAGAACTTGAGAAACAAATATGAGTGGAACGGAATGTGCTTATTTCATAAATACATCCTCGGCTTTTGAAAAGGATCTGGATATTCATTTCTAGGTACAAGGAACGAACAACACGGTTTAAGTACGGAGTAACGGGGGGATATTTGAATAGTGTCAGCGTTACAATAATAATCTGCTCTAGATCAATCCATAATTTCATTTAATTGCATCTGAATGATTTCAGAGTTATTCTTTAAAATACAGTTTTCTATTTCGTGCTCACAACTCTGGACGTTCTTCTAACATTTCGTTCTCCTTGACTTATGCGACAAGTTGACTTTTTGTTTCAACAATATGGCATTTAAAAAGCATTTTTTTGCATCTACAAACGAAGAAAATATTAATGAAAACAAATTGTTTTTGAATTATAAAAGAAACGAAAACACATTAGTGTCACAATATGCAAAGTGTGCGACGAATAGTACTAGTCTATAGTTGTTAGCAGCTGGTCTTAGCGCATGAGAGAGAGAGACTGAGAGACAGAGAGAGAAAGAGAGAAAAAAAATAAGAATGCACAATAATTGAAAAAACTGCGACCCTGTATTGTGTGTGTATCATTTTCAAATAACTAGTGCCAATAAAAAAAGGAAATATAATTTTTTTGTTGTTTCTTCCCACAAACACCATCGGTTTTCATTGAAGCTATCATAACTTTTGATAAGAATTATATACTCCTACGACATTAAAATATAACAGAAAAATAAAACGCTGTATGACTGGCTCATTGATTATATTTCATTTTATTTTTTTTATTCGACTAATTTCAAGGACACATGATGCAATTTTCGACAATAAGGACGTTGCACATTTTTTTATTTTCATCTTCAGTCTGATTAGTAAAACTAGGGTAGGTATTTTATGGCAAATAACAGTTGTTGTTTTATCCATATCAAATGCAGCAAATATATTTGAAAATTTTAAAGTTTAAATTCAGTTATATAATAAAAATGATTAAACTAAAAAGTTTCGAACATTTAAAAATATTTAAAATATTAAAATCTGTTTCAGATCTGTTATTACTTTTATTAATTTGATCATTAAAGTAGTTACAGTTTGTCTCAATATCAACCAATCGATTTTCGATTACGTGAGAACATTTTACTTTTTAATCACGTTCAGGTATCGGTCATTATCTATGTTTATTTGTCATTGATTATATTATACTTGAAAAATTTAGAAATGTTGATGAAAAAATGGAGACATGGTATAGTTTATCTGGTTATCTGTCTCTGAAGTCGATTGGAGGTAAATAAATAATTTATATTTAATAATTTCTCGTTTGCGTAAAATAATCTCAATAGATAAAGCGATCAAAACTCATTGGGATAAAAATTTTTTTCCTAATCATATACTCATTGAAGAACATATTGTTTCTATTATTTGTAGTTATATGTATTGTGTTGAAATTTAGCTTTAAGTCTTCTTCTACCATCTCGACGTTATTGGTTTGCATTTAACGAAAATCAACAAACATTACAAATTTTTCATACCGAACGTGATCAAATTACTAACAAAATTCCTGTTGAAAGTATTTCCATTCATCGAGCAGGTATTACATTAAGTCCAACTGAAGAACGATTATTTATCATATTGTAAGTTATATAATTTATAAGATAATAAATTATAATTATATTCATTTCGATAATAACCATTTTTAGAACAGATAATAGAGAATATCAACTTAAAGCGGATAATCATGAATCATTAATGATTTGGCTTTTGGGTTTACAGTCAAAAAGAGATGCAACTGAAATACAATATAAAAAATCTGTAATTATGGAGAAAGATTTAATTAGTGTACAAGATCCAGAAGAAGAAGTAAAATAATATACAGATGATTGAATATAGAATATTTTAATATCAAACTTTTTTTTTCTCTTATCATAGCATACCAATGTATACCTTTATGAAGAGAGTAAGTAAAAATATTATTTTTTATATAAAAAAATATTGAAAAAAATAACAAATAATTAATGTATATATTTATTTATATTTTAAGCCTATCGCAATTTAAGATGTGATAGTATAACAAGACAACCAGAATATATTTCAAAATTATATTTTGAACGTTCATTTATCAGTGATGATGGTTTGTTAATCTCAAATAATTACATCGTTCTATATACTAATAATAAATAATAAATATTTTTTAATTTATATTTTAGAAAAATGTCGTCTAGATGTTAATTCATCTGCTGTTGAAAGTAGAAAAATGAGGTATATCATATTAAATATAATAAATATATAACGAAATAATAATTTATTACTTAATGTATATTTTTTATTTAGTGTATGTTCAAATAAAGATCTATGTGAATCATGTTCATCTATTATATGTTCGGAATGTCGTACAATTGTTCAATCAAAAACATCATCTACATTAAATTCATTAACGAGTATTCAACAACAACAACATTTAATTGAATCATGTTATAGAACTGGTTCATCAAGTAATTCAATAGAATCATGTGATTCAGCATTTTGTGAAAAAATATTTGATCATCATTATGATGGACATTCAACACAAAATCATACAATCATTCATGATACACTTCTGTATGTTTTATATTTATTTATTTAATAGTTGCTAAATAAGAAAAAAAAATAAATATGATTAAAAATTTAATTTTAGTTCATTAAAATGTGAATTAGCATCAGCATTAAATAAAGAATGTATTTATTTATCAATAATTAAAGAAAAATGTGATATTGTGAGAAAATTAGAACGACAATTGTCAGATATAATTATAGCTACAACTGCGTGTAATAAGTAAGAGAAAAACAAAAAAAATAGAATAAAAATGTTTAATACTCTATTATTATTATTTTTATTATTATTTAGATTTTCTACAATTTCTAAAATTTTTACAGAAAAAACTCGTGAAACAAATAATGAATTAAAATTTTTAAATTGTGAAATAAAAAAATTACATAAATTAATTCGTGATGATGATGTTAAAATACGAAAACTTATACGGTTAGATAAAAAATTTTAATTTTATATAGAATTTTAAAAGACAAGAAAAGAAAGAAAGTATTTTTTAATTTTTTTTCAATTTTATTTAGTGCAATTCGTGTACAACAAACCCAAACACAAGGATTACAAAGAGATTATGTTTATTTGTTACAAACATCATTATCTATAGAAGATTGTCGACTATTTGGCGGAGTAAAAGTATGATATAGAAAATATTTTGAAATTTTAGTCAATAATAATAATAATATTAATATCACTTTCTTTTTATAGCATCGAGAACGTCTTAAAGAACTTTTAGCCGAGTGTCGAAAACGAGATCCATCATTACCATCATTTGAAAAGTTTGTTTTAAAAAAAAATGTTCATTTAATATAAAAATAATCATTTATTTCTATTTTTTTTTTTTCTTTTTAATAATTTTAGTTTAGAAAGATGTGGTTGTTATATTGATTCGTACGGTTTTAAACATGAGAAAAATAATGAAAATGATATGTTACAATATATTTGTATGAAATTAACTGAATTTTATGATCAAAAAGCTCATGTGGCTGATGAATTACTATGGCGAACATTAATAACATCATTTACTAATGGTACTACAGTGTCGGTAAATTAAATATTATTTATTAAACATTTTTTTTCAATTTATATATAAATATTTTTTTTCTTCTTTCTTTTCTAGAAATCATTTAAAAATCTCATTCGACAAGGTATACCACACAATTTGCGGTCAGATATTTGGCGTTCATTAATTCTCAAGAAAGTATGTCATATTAGGAAATCACGAGGAACTATGTTTTATCAAAATTTATCTCTTCAAATTCCAGAAAGTGATGTATGTTATTTAAAATATTAACTAAATAAAAAAAAGTTAAAATATTGTTGTTGTTTTTTTGTGTGTGTGTCTATTTTTAGTTGAGTACAAAATTTCAAAAACAAATTCAATTAGATTTGCATAGAACAATGCCAACAAATATTCGCTTTTGTAGAAAAGATTCGGATGGTGTGAGTAGTTTATTTGATATTCATTCATTGAACTGAAATGCGAGATAGTTTCTTTTTTTTTCTTCTTCTCGTTATTATCAGATTCGTCAATTACGTGAAGTACTAGAAGTATTTTGTTTGTACAATCCATTAGTTGGCTATTGTCAAGGAATGAATTTTATTGTTGCCATTGCCCTGTTATTTTTAGAACCAGAAAATGCATTTTGGTAAAAAGTATATTTACTATTTTTTTCTCTTAATTATGCAAAGTCTACAATTTTACAGGTTATTAGTTGCCGTTACTGAATGTTATTTTCCATCAAATTATTACGATTCAGGTTTAATTGGAGCTCAAGTTGATCAATTTGTATTGAAAGATTTGATACAAATTAAAGCACCTGAATTGTATCGACATTTTGAAAATATTGAAGTGGAAATTACATCATTAACATTAAATTGGTTTATGGCTGTCTTTATTGATACTGTACCATTTGAGGTAAATAAAAAAAAATAATCTTTTATATATTTAATAGTCTAATTTGAAAAATTTTCTCGTATTTTGTAGACTTTATTACGTATTTGGGATTGTTTTCTGTTAGAAGGACCGAAAGTTTTATTTCGATTTGCCGTAGCATTACTAATTATGAATCGTGATAGTATTATAACAAAAACTGATACAATATCAATGATGAAACAGATCAAAGATTCGGCAAAAAATTTGTTTGATGTTGAAAGTTTATTCAAAGTAATTCGACATAGCAAAAACTTTTTTCAATTGTTTTATATATCTTAAAACAAAAAAAAAAAACATGTTATTTGTCAAATTGTTGCATATTTCATGTAGATTGCATTTGAAGATTTAAAACCATTTGCAAGAAGAAAAGATATTGCTGTTAAACAAGCATATTATACAAAAATGTTAACAGAAAAAATACTCAAACGACAATTATCATTCACAAATGCATTTACAAATCAAGACTATGTTGTAATAGAATGTTTATTTTTATATATTGAAATGAAATAATTCTATTTTTTTTGCTTTAGTTTCCGGAGATTAATCCATGTACATGTACATTGGACTGTGCCACAGTCGTATCAGGAGGTAGGAAAACGATGAATTATTTTGAAATTAAATAGATTGAAATCATTTAATGTTGACATTGTTCAATAATTTAAGGTCTTTTATGGATGGTGTTTGGTTCTCAATTTGAATGTCGAATATTTGAAGTGAATATTGAACGAGGAATTATGGTTGATTTAGAATTAACCGTAGGTATTATTCGATAGTAAACGATATAAACTATTGTAATATGACTTTTTTAAATAACTTTAGTACAATTCTCGTGCATACTGTATGAATTGTATTAGATCAAATCTTGTTCTTGTTGGTACTTTATCGGGAACACTTATTGGATATTCTGTTGAGAATAGGTACAAAAAGTGATATATAAAAAATAAAAATAAAAATATTTTAAAAAATATATTTCTAATTTAGAAATATTCAATGGGCAACGCAGTTAAGCAGTTCTGTTGTATGTATAACTCATTCAACAAAAGAAGAATTAACTCGTGCTTACTGTGGATTATCCGATGGAAGCTTGGCAATATTAGAAGTTTGTATCATTTTTACGGATTACTCTAGTTTCGTCCCGTATTTGTTAATTAGCTCTCATTTCGTTCCGTCTCATTTCGTCCCACACTCGTATCGTCCCGTTTACATTTTCTATCATTCTACTCATTTTATAACTATTCATTTTTTTCTATCAACTGTATACTAACCAATATTAATATAATCTGATAATTGATACATGGCTTTCTAAGTTACATTTATTATTTTATTTACGAGTTACAATGAAAGAGGTAATTTTATACTATTAACACATTTGCCGCATTTAATTGCAAGCTCAGTTCCAGACAAAGTACCATTTTCATATCTTTTAAAATATTCCTTCAATTTATTATCACAATTATTGTATACTTTCTTCCATTTGACTGTTTTGTATATTGATGATCGGGTCGAACCATCAGATCCTTGCCATTGTTTCATTCATGAGTATTATTTCTTTACAAAAGCTTTTCTGTTAAACAGTTAAACTCTATGATGGAGTATACAAAATGACTTCGTTAAAATTAAATTGTTATTGATCCAGGTTTAGAAAAACGAACTAGTCCATACTGATACGTATCAACGTATCACTATGCCATGTATCAGTTTCTTACATTATCTTAATTAATTATATTAATATTGATTAGTATACAGTTAATAGAAAAAAATGAATAGTTATAAAATGAGTAGAATAATAGAAAATATAAACGGGACGAAACGAGAGGATACCATTTTTACATAAATGTTAAATGTTAAGCTTTATGAATTTATAATATTTTTTTAGTTATTTGATATGAAAGAACCAGACGAAGCATTTTCAATTTCATTGGGTAAAGCACCTATAACTGCTATTATGTTATTAAATGAAAATTTATGGTGTATATGCTCAAATAAATTATCAATTCTAAACGAAAAGTTTGTAGGCACTAAAATATGTTAAATAATGTGAAAAAAGCTTTACTACTCTTCTCTTTTAGAACATTGTATACTCTCATATCTATCGAACTTGCCGCAGAATATCTTGAATTTACATCTATTCTTTATTTTGATGAACCCACTTATGTTTGGTTAATATTACGTTCGAGTAATACACTTCAAGTATGGGATAATACTAATTGTAAACTTTATGCAACTGCTTCGTTAACAAAAGTATTTAATAAACTTGGAAAGCCAAATAATGAACATGAATTAACGAGAGAACAGGTTCGTTTGAAATGGTATCATTGCTAGCTTGAATTGAAAATCAATGATTAAAATTTTATTTTATTTAGATGATTGATGAAGAAGATCGTACACTTAGTGAAATTCGAATCACATCCTTACTAGTACACGATAATCAGTTGTGGCTTGGTATATCAACGGGTAGCATTTACGTATTTGATGTCAATTTTCAACCGAAAAAAAAGAAATCTTCAATAATGAATTTTCAAACAGATTTGTCTCACTATCGTTCTCGATCATTAAGTATTTCGTCTAATTTAATCGATACGTCGCATCGACTCGTACAAGATATTAACGATATGAATAGTACATTATTACTCGATAAACGTTCTACAACTCGTTCGTATTCCGAATCAGCGGTTGTTAAAATCGATAAAAATAAAAACGATTTTATTACTCATAATGATCATGAAGAGTGGTTAACAGCGATGCATTTATATCGAATTACATTTAATGCAGATGTAATAGTAACAAGTGATAATAGTACGTCGAATAGTACAAAGGCAAGTTTTTTACGAAGAAGAAAACGACATCATTCAGCATGTGTTCTCGGAAAACAACTTGAAAATGGTCATAAACATTATTCTCTACGTAATGAAACAAAGTTAAAACAATCATCAAAAAAACTTAGTATTCATAAACCAAAACGTATGTCCGATTCGGATACATCAACAACGTTGGCTTCTCGTCATACACGTTCCTCTAGTCCGGCAATAATTTCAACAGATGAGTATACAAAACATACTCATCGAACATTATCACAATCAATTGCACAAAATCAAAAATCAATTGACACATCAACAATGACTGTCAATTTTAATCTTGCATTTAAAGCAAAAATATCGGATTCACCCGTTAAATGTATATGTAAAACAAGGTAGTCAATATTAAACTAATTCAGTATTTTCCTAAAATCTACTATGAGCAAATTTATTTAGATACAATGATCAAACAGTTATTGTGACTGGACAAGGAAAATATGGAGATGAAGAAACCGTTCTACGATGGAAAAGAGTTCAAGATACAGTATGTAATAGACTTGCTTTTGCTAGACTAACGTCAAAATAAATTTCAATTTTTTAAGTAAAAATTTTTTCTCAACGATTCATTATCACAATAGTAATTTTCAGTTATTCAATATCTCAATCTAATCCTTGAATATAGACTGTTAAGATCACATACGAACATATTTGTTTCTTCTTAGAATCAAAAATTCTGGAACGCCTATGTAAATGTGTATATTATAAGATTTATAGGTTAATCAAAAAATGTTTACATATACATACGCATGTACGGCACATGTGTGGGTATATGCGCATCAGAATCTCCATGGTTGAAAATCTATAAAGAATTTCATTAAACTTTTAGAAACCGAATCAAACCAAAAGAGAAGTATAGTTTTTGGAAGGAAAAAAGTATTTTGAGTTTTTCTCGAGTTTTTGTTTTGCTCGATGAAAGTCAGCGATCAACTGATTTCTCCGTAACGAAAGTCAGAATCGTCTCATTTTTTTTTAAATTGAAGCTACTGTTGTCAACGAAATCGCGGCATTTTTAACAATTAATCTCGATTCTTGAAAAATCGCAAATTAATTGCGATTAATTGTTGATTTTAAGTGATTAAATGGTTATTGTTATTCACCGTTTTATTTTGCAGTGAAGTATGTATATAAGAAACACGATTTCAATGAGAAATATACTTCTATTGGGATCATCGTTTTATTTTAGAGTAAAACGGATTTCTCAAGAGTCTTCTATATATAGTTCCTTAGAGTTTTAAGCCGCGGAGCCCAATGAATAGCTGGTATCTGCGCAACGTCTAAAATCGATTCGTCGGAAAGGCTTCGACTTCAGCTGATGCCAAGATCGTTGCTGAATGATGTACGTGTCATTATACATAATAAAGAATGAAAAATCAGAAAAAAATATGTATTTCCTAAGATGGGTTCGCACCTAGTAGCCAGAAAAAATCGGGATTAATCGCTGAAATCACCTGACAATCACCAAAAAATCGACAATCAATCGCGATTAATCGTATAATTTTTCACGATTAATTGCTGATTTTTATGCGATTTTCAGTACATGGGTAAGACATATGGAAACAACGGAAAAGGACTGAATTTTCTATTTAGGCCGTAAATTTTAATCATTATTGAAAGTATATATATACTCCTGTTTCTTTGCTTTTTTTAAATTTTTGAGGCATCGGGAAATAAAACAAAGAAGAATTTAAAAGTCCAGCTCTTTTACGTCGTTCCCCTTGCTTCGTTTGATATTTTAAAACTAACCCAAGATTTCTAGCGACTTTCTGAGAGATGAAATCTGCCGAACGGTAGATACCCTCCCTATTTCGACTCTTATTCGGGCGATATCTATCGAACGAAAGTAGGTGGCCTTAAGAAACGAAATATTATATTAAGTTACGAAATATTATCGTAACTATTCCTTTACATGGTCAGCAGCTCTGAAATTTTTGTCGAAACTATGACGCAAACACTATAGGGCGGAAGATGGCCCCCTCCTAGAAACATATTTTATACTATATCTGTTGAGTTTTAGAGAAAAAATTCTTATGAGAAATGTGCTGGAAAAAAGGATGGGTTTGGGAAATTTGCTCGAATGAAGTTTGCTCGAACAGAATTTCCTCGAATGGAAATCTCCTCGAATTTTCCAAACAGAAATTATCCATATTATTTGCAGTGTATAGAACCTCCTTAAATTTTCGATTATACATGTTTGTATCGGTTTATAAGAGAAAATCAGACTATAACGCATTTTAAAACTCACTTTGATACATTGATACAAAGACGAGAAATAAGTAATGATAGGAGATGATTAAAAGGAAAACAGATGACAGAAAAGCTGAAATGATCAACTATTAGAATTAATTAAGACTGACTTAATTAATTAACAGAATTATAAAAATAGAATAAAAAATGAAATCAACAAAGAGACCGCAAGATAATCACACCTTGGACAATGTGATATATAAACCTCCGTCATATAAACCGATCTTAATAAACGTTTAATAAATCTAATTAACACTAGAACGCCCGGAAATTTTCATGACCTAGAACGCCCAAAGTGGTCATTTTGACCGTTACTGTTTTTTTTAAAAATTTTATACTTAAAAATGATTCTAAATTCAAAAATGAATTAAAAATTCTGCAAAAAATAATTTTTTTGGGACAAATTAAAAGTTATGACATAATTTATTTTTAAATAAATTGTATGCAGTTTGTTTTATTAACGATAAAAATCACAAAGCAGTCAAAATGACCGCTACGGGCGTTCTAGTGTTAAATATCCCATATAGAATAACAAATAACTGCTATAGCTCATAATATCCATTTATAAATTTTATGTTTCGAATAAAGCAGTTTCATTGATAGATAACTCAGACAGGTTCAGTTGGCTTATTGATATTTATATTTAGCTGAAGTAATTTTTTGTGTTCATCTTTGATGTTTCTCTTGTTCTGTATACTACAAATAATATTGATAGTTTCTGTTTGGGAAATTCGAGGAGATTTCTATTCGAGGAAATTCTGTTCGAGGAAACTGTATTCGAGGAAATTATTTTCGAGAATATTACTTTCGAGGAAATTTCATTCGAGCAAATTTCCCCCATACGAAAAGGATGCGAAGCTGAACATGAGATGATTATGATTGATATTTTTTAAACTTATGTGAATAAGTAAAGCTAGAAAATAATCGACTACATCTTATTGTTTTCGTTCTTTTTTTCTTTTCTAGACCCAATGGTCAAATGATGTGATTGTTGAACTTAGTCCAGACTCATTTATTCCAATACGCCCACAACATGCGAGATGGAAATATTTTAAAGAAAGCCGTGATCATTCAAACAGTATTTCATCTAATTTCTAAATGTCTAAAAAATTATAGATAAATTGAATAATTTAGCATTTTATTTATTTATTTATTTATTTATTTATTTATTTGAAAATCTATTCTATCATTTTAATTGATTTAATCATCATATTATCTATCTATCGATGATTATACCTTCATAGACAAGTAATGTTTATTTTTCATAACTTTTTTCAAAGTCAACATTATATTCTTCTTCGTACAATTTCATTTGCGATACACAATGGATTACTATAATTTTCATTAATTCACTGTCAAAACATTAGTCTTATAATATCAATGCTATAATTTTAAAGATTAATCAAATAGATTTTCACTTTTTTTGTGCTAAAACCTAATGTCAATTGAATAAATTCATATAAGAAATGTTTCGTAAAACGAAACAAGATTTCACAAAAAGAAAAAGAAAAACAACAATTTACAGTACAAAAAGAAAATTGATTATAAATATATCTGTTTTAGGCATAATTTAACTTTTGGTGTAAAGTTTTAAAAAAACAGAATATGTCAACATATATTTTTGAAAGTAATGCGATTATACAAATCAAATTACAATGGTCAAAATGGTAGATACTGAATAATTTTTTTTCTCTAAAATAAATGGCTCGGATTTACGGAATCATGGAGGTACGTCAATGTGCCTTTCGCCAATTGACAAGCGACCATGGGTTATATTGGTGAAAGATCAGTGTTCTTTCGCCAATTGACGATTAGCGAAAGTCATATTGACGTATCTCTCATTTCTCGGATTTACTATATGGATAAACGCCTACAGTATTTAGCTGTTGTATACAAAAAAACAAAACGAAAAAAAGACAGTTTGAAACATAGTACAAAAATATTTTTTGGAATTAGAACAACGAATAAAAAATAGCCGAACATATGTAATTTCATTCTCGGAAAGACGAGAAATACTTATATGTAGCTCTTTAACAAGAGCAAATAACTAACGAACGTGAAAATATCACAGAAAGAGAATTTTTATATTGTTTCTATTATTTTTGAATAGCACATAAACATAGTCATCAATTTATGTTTTTTGACAAATCTCAGACAGATGTTTCAAACAATTCCTCTTTCTCTTTTGGACCCTATATAGGAATACAGAAGATTAAATGTATATTATGTAACAATAGACAAATAGTATGAAAAACTTACATCGTATAATAATCGTTGATCTGTAAATGCACTTTCAAACAATCGTTTCCCGATTGTTTGATCCTTATTTGAAACTGGTACTGATAAAGGAGTAGACACATCTCTAGAAAGAAAGAAAAAATGTATAATTTTATAATACATATAGAAATAATGATAACATTGATTTCTGTACATACCTTTTAATAGAAGAGTTCGTCGATTCACGGGATAGAGTAGTCACTCCTTTTTTCGGTAAAGCAAGAATCGTGTTCAGTACATTATCCAAATCATCTTTATCTAAAATATATTATAAAAGAGATACAGAACTCTATCGTTAAGTATGTCAGTATTGAAATAATGTACCTTGGCTTGTACTAGTGAGTAGTTGTTGAGTATTAAAATGTCCATTTGTTGTAGGTTTCATTTGTTGTCGACTAATTTGTCTTGGTGGTTGTTGATTTTGTTCACTCGAATTTGATCGATTATCATCAATTATATTTTCATTCGATGAACCTTTTCGTAATGCTGTTTGTGATTGTGTGTGGTTTGTTCGATTATTAATATTATTATTATTATTATTATTGTCATTATGAGATATTGATATTCTCTTCAAATCTTTTAGACGACTATCTAAGTAGAGCATAAACGCTTGTAAATCATTTTGATTTTTTATTTGATCAAACTGAGCTACACGTAGTCGAATATCGTCTAATGCGGCATGAATATGAATATCATTCGAATTTTGTAGTGAATGAAATAAATTGTTCATTTCAGATGTACCATGTGCACTGATATATTCTTTTAACAAATCATTATCGTTATTATTATCATAATCTATTTCAGAATTTTCAGGTACTTGTCCAGTATACCATTTCATAGATAACATTCGTGCATTGTCCTCTTGAGTTGGTGTACTTGGTACTAGAGGAATTGCTGATGATAAACGTTCTTGAGATAATGCTGTTTTAGACTGAGATTGCTGTTGTTGTTGTGGTGGTGTTACTGTTGTGCGTGATGATGTTGCTGTGGTACGTATTGGTATTGCTGTTACTGTTGTACGTGTTGGTGGTAATTGATCAGTCACATTATCAAGATTATCTTCACAGGATTTTGAGGGTAAGTTCTGTGCTGTATGTGCTTCATGATAGTCGGATACATTATGGAAACTACGTGATAATCTTTGTTGCCTTTTAACTGATTGATCGCCAGCGCCATTATTTCTTAAATGCACAATTCCATTATCATCGATAGTATTTGAGTCTTCTGGCGTATAAGTTTTAGATACGTAATGTCGTAAATCTTTTGTAGATAGTGACAAATTATTGGGGATTTGTGGTCCGGATAGACTACTTGTACTGAATGAACTTTTAATTTGTTTTACAAATGCATTTGTTGCTAATGATTGTCGTGTACCCTGATGTTGTTGCTTAATAGGCGGACGTGAAATCGTCGTTCTTGATGGAAGCGTAGCAAATGGACTTTTTGTTGGTATACGAGTAGAGGCAGCTGATTGAATAGATGCAGGCTTGATAATAATTGGTTCATTATAATGACTTGTTGTACTATTTAACTTTTGTTCACTAATTAGTGCAGGTAATGTACGCGCCTTCACTGATGGTTCAAGTGGTAAAACTTGTTTTTTCAGATTTTGTGATGCCTCGCCTGTTGTTACACTACTAATACTACTTGTTCGAGAAGATAAACTATTATTTTCGTTAATCTTTCCACAATAATGTCGCGATGACGGAATCCGAGGATAAGATTGTATAGATGTAAATTGAGAATCATTTTTATAGTTAGTTCTATTTAATAAATCATTTACTGTATTAACACTAAATTTTTTTAAATCAGACGAAAAATGAGAAGGTAGGGGTGGAGGAATTTTTCGTTCATCAATAATTGGAATAACTGTTTCAACATGTTTTGAAGGGATAATTTCATTGACATGATTTGATTGAATCTGTCCATATGTTAAATTATTTGTCATATTTCTAGCTTCAATATAATTATCTATATCCGTTTCGATACTTGCTTTTCGCTGTCCCGTTACTCTTTCAATATCCTTTAATAATCGAACTGGTTTTAATGTTCGAGCAGGTATAGGTGGTGGCGGTGGTGATTGATGATGCTTAACATTATCAGATGAAGATGGAGATATACTAGAAACGGGTGAATGTTCAACAATATCAATATCATCGTAATATAATACCATATCACCTTCAATTACTTCAATATCCTCATCATCACCTTCTTTTTCTAAAATAACTGTTGTTACAATATCAACTGGCACACTAGATTTTGCTGTTTGAAATGACTGTATTGTACTATGACTCTCCGTTGGGCTGCTCGTTGCTTTAATATAGGAACCAAAATTGCTCTAAACAAGAAAATAGAAATACTTCCATCTTTCTATTTGAGTGAATTGAAGGGAATAACTATTCGCTAAATAATTATCCGCTGTATCTCACCTTATCTGATGTTCGTGTTTCTTGTGTTGGTTTTATAATTGTCGATATCACACCATGTTGCGTTGACGTTGGTGAATTTTCATTACTCGTATGCGCGCTTTCTTTATTTCCTTGATCTATATAATCTTCAATATCATTTAATGTATCATCAAATTCAGAATTATTTACTTCCTGTTCAACTACGCCCGCACTCGATTTTGATTTTGATTTCGATGCTGGATCTCCTACTTCATCAATTTTTGGTAAATCAAATCGTTTTGAAGTGTCGTTAGTATTCGTGTTCGGTATTGAATTTAAAGAATTTTTATCATTATTTGTTGACGGTACATGAGTTGATTCCTTTATATATTCAAAATTATCATCAAGATTGGTTATGGGTATTAATTTTTTACCAACTATTTGATCACTAACATAAACTGTATTGTTTTGATTATTATTAGTCTGATAAAACCGTTGTACAGCTTCAACTGCTGGAAATGGAACATTGTCTTCAGATGTGGATTTGTTATTTTTAATATCTGTGCCTGATTTATCAATATTTTTTGAAACAGTTGTTTTATATGAAGATGATCTTGTTTTGAATGATGATGATGCGGAACCATCGCTAGAAATATGTTCATAACGTGGTGATATGTCACTTGTTTCTAAGTCATTATTAGTCGTATGAAAATCAAACACACGTTTAATAGCACCGCGTATAAATTGAAAATCTTCATGATTTTCATCTTGTTTCGATTGTTGTTGTTTTTGTCCGATAATCGAACGACTTTCAGGATAAATGTGTTTATCATCTATTTGGTTATGATTTAATTTTTTATTATGTATTTGAGGAATTTCATATTGTTGAAATTGTGCAGAAATACGAAGTGCACTATTATCAGATCGTATAGGCGTTACATCGTAAATATTCTAAAAATGAAACACAGAATTTCTACCGGATATATTCAACTTCCTCTTTCTTTTTTTAAAAGTTTAGTTTGTACTTATTTGACCAGACTCATACCACCATACGTTTTTTTTTTCTTATAAAAACAGAAGCAATAAGAAGTTATTTAACTTACTCGATTATTATTTTCTTGTATAGTAGTTTCTTTTTTCACTTCGTAGTTTTTATTTATGATTTGATCACTTTTGAGAACATGATTAGTTTTATCATATGCTGTCACATGGTTTTTTACACTAGAGTCAAATATGTTAGAGTTATTTTGGATTTTATTCGACGTTGAATATAATACATCATTATCTCGAATTATTTTAGAATTGTCAGAATAAATATTTCGAGTATTCATAATAATCGGCTGATAAGATGATGAAAAGGGCGATGCATCCATCAAAGGATGCATTCGTCGTAGAGCATTATGCCCTGCACTTCCCAACAGACTCGTATGATGATGACGTGTTGTTGTCGTACTTTTGTTATCGTAGTATGAACCGACACTATATTGACGATGACGTATTTTTGATGTATAAGGCGATAAATATGATGTATTCGAGAATTCGTCAATATTATTAGTTAAACTATCCCATTTGTTTAAATTAAAATATTGTGACGATTCCATCGTAGATGGAAGCAGATAGGATGTTGTCGAATTATTGTTTCTCGTTGTCAATGCGTCCACCCTCAATGTTGGTGGAGCTTGAGTAGAAAATAAAGGCGGTAGCGAATACGCAATATAGATCGGTAATATACTGTCATTTTTCGAACTAGTTTCTTTTAACTCTTCTTCTCGTGATTGTGTTCTGGTCAATGTATCTTCTACAGACTTTTTTGGTTGTTCTTTTTCAGCAGTTGTAGATTTGATTGCATCGTAATTTTCTAAATTTAAAGACATTATTTTTGTTATATCAGAAGTATTTCTGTCAATATTTTCATTCAATCCATCATCCATTCGATCACTTTGAGTGATATGGCTATTTTTCCAAACTTCGTTTCTTGTATTATTTTCCGAATGCTAAAAATAGAGAAATAGAAAGAATGCTGGTATGATAGAAGTAAATTGAGATACCTCTTTAGGAGAATAACAGAAGTAGAATGTCAGCTACAAAAATGTCTGTCCTACTCTCAATTGTAGCGCAGTGAGGACCCATTAAAAAACGATAGCAAAAACAGAAGAATTAGAGCCACTCATGCATTTAGCATAGATTCGATATTAATATTAAAAACATGTTCTTCTAACCGTATCAGCAACGGAAATAACAGATCTTGTATTGGGGCTTTGATCAGAATGACTGTTTTCATTTTCAACTTCATATAAGATATCTTCTTGTAAAGGGCGTCGATAATTTTTAATCATAGTATTATCATCTTCATTATCATCATCATCATCATCGTCATCATCATCATCATCATCGAGAATATCATCAAGATTTGTTATCTTTGTACATTCAAATTCAAATGGATCCCGTACTGTTGAATAGTGGAAATTAGATTCATCTATATCTATATGAGATAAATCTTCATGATCGTTATTGTTATCGTTAGACGATATCAATGCATACAATCGATTATTTTGATTATGCATCGTGTTGTTTTTATTGTTCATATTAGAAACTATAGAAGTGTTACCTTCTTCTTTGTTTAAATTATTATTTTCATTCTTATTCCGCGGTGAGAATAGAAAAAATTCATCTCCAACGTTATTTATATCATTTAGATCGACTTCACGTAATATTTCATCGTTAGGAATTTCTCTTAAACCACTGGTGGTCGTCTGATAAATACCAGCTGAATGACGTTTTAAACTATCCGACAACAAATGTCCACTAAAATTAGTTGGTAATGATGATGATAATATAAGTGTTGGATTAATATTATTTTTTTCATTTTGTTGATCAATACACGTTGCTATTGAATTTCCCTCATACCAATGTTCATTTTGTTGTGAAAAATGAGATGATGAATCGGCACTCGATGATGATAAACTATTTTTATCACCGTCTGGTGATATTTCCGTTTCTATATCGACACTTAAACGATGTTGTGGTGAACGTAAGGATTGAGAATCGGATATAACAATCATTGTTTGCCTTTTCTTTTCTTCTTTGTTCTCAAAAATCGTTTGTAAATTTTTAACAATTAACGGTGAAACAATTTTTTCAACATTAGTTTTTTGTTCTGATCCGTTTAATGCCGTTTCGGCACTCGTCGACTGTTCAAAATTTTCAGAATCATTCAAATCTAAAAGAAAATAAGAAGCTTTAATCAAAGACTCTTTATAAATATGTTCAATACTTTCTTTCTCTCTTTTCTTTCTCAATGAAGTTCATTAATACACAGACGAAATGAATACCTTTCGATTAATTTCTACAGGTGATGGAGCGGGAGAGAAGAGCAAATTTTTAGTCAAACGGAAGAATAGTAAAGTATACTAAACTGTTTAAAATTTTTTTTTTATATTTTCATGATGATTATCACCGGAAAATAAAAAAAAATTTCTCATTTCATATATGCATGAGGGCATAGTATAGGTCATTTTTTTTCCTCAATCTTTTTTTGTCATTACACCTTTGCATGAGTGAATATATGTGCAAAACATTGATGACCTGCGTGTACAAACGCAAACAAGAAAGGAAAAAAAAAACAGAAGAAATTGATCATTTGTCGGAGTGTATGTGGATATAGATCTATTTTATGTGATACCGATATGTTTAGTGTTTTTTATTCTTGTACATGTCATAAAGTTATTGAAATGAACACTTTTATTTATTGTAACAAATTTTTCTTATCTATAAAGAATAATTCGAATCACCGATACAGTTAGAGACATGGTATCATCAAACACGCCTCTTTTCAAAAAGTAGATTGACGTGATTTTAGATTATTACATCTTTATTATACTCGACTCATATACGAAAAATTTTAGATTGAAACCTGCAGAAACAACTGCTAGCATTTGTCTATTTGAAAAATAGACTTTTTATTATTACTTTTTGATACTTAAGCGAATGAAATGCTATGGAGATAGAAAAGAATATATTTAAAATGACATGGCAGAAACAGTAGAAATTTTTTTAACATTATTCCTTCCCACGAGACTTTCGAATATGACACAGATAAAAATTAATAGTCAGCAGAATGCTTATAATGATGATTCCTCCACAGTAGAGATGTGCAGAGCGATCTAGAGTAGGGCTCCGAATTTACAGGTTAGGGCTGCGCCAGGGTCTAAGGTTATCTGAAGTCACAGGACAGGATAGGGTCAGGACTGCATTTAAGAAAGATGAACCATATCGAAAAAAAATGTATTGTTAATGACATTATTAAAAGGAGGGGGGTTAACTTGGTCAGAAATTGGCGCCCTGGTTTTTTTGCTTATTTTGAGTTGACTTTTATAGAAAAAACATTTTTACGCACTTTCCAGTTATTCTTATGGAAAACAAGCTCGAAATACATTTTTAACGTTGATTATTTTGAGATTCCATCAGAGGACATCGTTGCTAGAACAAATAATATTTTTGAAAAGTCAAGCATAGGTTTCACACAAACCTTGATATGTAAAAATAGCCAGCGAAAAACTGAATAAAATACTCTATGAACAATCCTTATAGATCATTTCAATAGGAGGAAATTATTTTTAGTAGAGACAAATTGCACCTAAAAGACGATATCAGCGATGCTTTAAGAGAGACTTCGTCAGTCGATCGAGTATCTTGCCAAAGACCGGTCACGAGTGAAAAATTGACATATACTTTTTATTTTATATTCGGATTCTACTATCAAAACTGGAGTTATGAAAAATAAAAAAAAATTTCTGACTTATTCTGGCTGAGTTATAGAATAGCGGTGTGCAGGCTGCACGCCTCTATTTTTGTTTATTTTGAATGACTTCCAGTCGTTGAAGATGAGTAGCTAGTTTGTCATACACGATATCGCCAATTTTGTTCACATTAGGCACTTGATCACTAACCGAAAACCTTGAGAATATCAGTTGGCACTACTTAATAATTTTTCATCATCGATACAAATAAAGTTCTTATTTGGTAAGTGTTAAACTATTAGATGATGAACGAATCAATCTACCTGTTTGCTCTTGAATCATGTTTTAGAAACAAATGATTACTTAAGCATTAAGAATTATATACAAATATTAAGCTGTATAGCCGCGAGATATATACAGTAGGAGCTGTGCACGCACAGAAGTTTGGGCACTAAAAACAAATTTGCTTCAACAGACAAACAATTTTTGTTTTCTTCCATTTTACAACCCGACTATGTGACGCAAGGAAAATAAAAATTTCATAAAATAAGAACGGAAAAAATTAGGAGAAGTACGATCAACTGGAGGGTGCTGGCGAGGTATATAGTTTGTACGAAACCTTAAAAAGGTATATAGATGATGACAAATGTTTAAACCTTTTCTAGGTTTAGTAGAGTACCTTTTTTTTAGAGAGTACACATAAGAAAGTAAGAGTAAAATAAGGATCATTCGTTCAGCGATCGACGTTCGTTTTTCTATAGGTTTATTCGAAAACTCCACATCCACATCCAATAACAACAGGCATAGATCTTCTCTGATGGATAACGAAGAGTGGGCTGAGCCCACCCCAGCCCACATGTGGCGCCGCCACTAGTCTGCACTCTACTCTACCCTGTCCTGTTAGGGTAGGATGATCCTGCACATCTCTACTATATTATAGAATTTACAAAATGAGCACTATCAACGATTTCCGAAAAGTAGTAATCTCTGATATTTTGACTATAACTCCGCCATTTTTGATCCGTTCTGTTCGAGCAACATCTCATTCGGTAGCCTGAAAAATGTCGATAATTTTTCAATTTTTTATGGTTAGCTTACGAGCAAATTTTAACAAAATTTTTCATTTCTGAAAAAAATTTCAAAGTTCCATCATGATGCAGTTTTTGACGCTGATTCCAAATATCACTTTATTTTTGTTTTAAGAGAAGTTTTGATGACCAAAACCTCAAATAGCTGAAAACTCATGGTTGGTCGGTCATCTTGTTTTCAAGTTTTGCACCGCTTTTAAAACAAAGTTTTTGCGCTCAGTTTGTCGAAAATTGAATTCTCTATTGCATTTGACCTTCGAATTGTTAGGAAAATTCTGTTTGGAGGGTCGAAAGTGGCATTTTCTCATAAATTTTTGACCCTTCAAAGATCCCAATTCTCCAATTGATGTGGGTTTTAAATAGTCACTTCCTACTTCAGAAAAATTAGGAACTACGTGATTTTGGTTAGTTTTTATCAGGCTTTTGAATGAGATGCAGCTCGAACAGAACGTATAAAAAATGGCGGAGTTATAGTCAAAATATCAGAGATGGTTCCTTTTCGGAAATCGTTGATGGTGCTCATTTTAATTCCATAACTCACGAGGGAAGGCCCCCAACTGTCCAGAAGCTTTTGGCCCAAAACTTAGTGGACAATAGGTAATCGAGTGTCCTGATCCCGAATATTACATTGGGATCTTTGAAGGGTCAAAAATTTATGAGAAAATGCCACTTTCGACCCTCCAAACAGAATT